TTCCTTAATTTTTATGACTTTTAAGTAACACACATTACTTTCTCTAATCTTATTATTCAAAGATTAGTCCATCTTAAAAAAAATCTAAGTTGACCTTACCTCCACACGACCAACTTGCATTATCACATCTCTTTGAGTTTCAAAAATATAAGCAACACTAACAGTAGAATATAATACTTAAGTCGACAATACTCCAAATCATAGTCAATTTTATATTATTATCCATCAAAACACTTTAATCAACATGAGGGTTTCTATAAATCAAGCCTAAATAGTATAGAAGTTCACTTAAAGAGAAGTCCTTCAGAGTCAAAGAAGAAAATCATGACACTTTGATATCCAAGGAATAGAACAGTGCAGATTTTTTATCTTCTTCAGAGAATAAACTAATTTAACTCAAGTATTTCTAGCATGTGTGACCTATATGGTAGAAAGATATACAAGTTAAGCTTCTAACAAAAAAAAAATGGTTTAAAATTTGGACTTTCTGACAAAGAGTTATGGTCTAATTAGTGAAAGATAGTCTGCTTGACTGATGGTTCTACTATAGTTATCCAATTCGAGTTTTGGTGTATTTTGTCACAAATCATTTCTTATACCTATCTCCAATATAGATAATATCACTTCCATAAAGATTCATGTCTAGTATCATTTACAAATCAAAATTCAAATTATCATCCGTCTCTTAGAATAATCCATGACGACATAATATAAAACTAGCATATCCATCCCAAAATTTTTGTCAACTCCTCTAAGGTAGCTAATCCATGAATTCGAATAAATAATTTATTCCTAACCTAACTAATTTTATAAACATATAACTTCAAATAAATTTAAGCCTAGAGTTTTTTCAACCTAACTTCATACTTCAGTGATTATCCACAACCTACAACTCACATGTAAGACCTAATTCTTAAACTCTGATACCAAACTTGTAATACCCCAAAATCTATCATGGAAGGCATTACTATCTAGAAACCATCCAATCATGAGAGAAACTAAAAATAACCATTGGAATAACCAATCATTCATCCATCTGATAAAAAATAAATACTAAAGTCAATAAAACATTGTAACTTTTCTAACTTACAATTCAAAATNCATGAGAGAAACTAAAAATAACCATTGGAATAACCAATCATTCATCCATCTGATAAAGAATAAATACTAAAGTCAATAAAACATTGTAACTTTTCTAACTTACAATTCAAAATCAAATAGCATCTAGTAGCAGAATAATGAAAACAAACAGAAACATTGTTTTATAGAAATCTCTCAAATTCTAACCAAAAATAAAACAACTCTATTCTTCTAAGATAGGGTCTACATTTTGATTCTCCAATGACCCGTAATCAACCTGCTCATCCACGTTGACATTCTCTTCTATGCCAAAATTTATAATTGTGTGGTGATAGGGGGTAAGCAAAAGCCCGTAGGAAATCCTTCTCAAATCCCAACAATGTTTTAAAACAACATAAAGAAGGCTAGTCTCTTTTAAAAAATAGCATATATAAATTTGAGAGTAAAACCATAACAGTTATAATGATCTCAAGTGTACAAAATATAGTAAATCAATTATAGGAATAAACAAATCAAAATTAAAGCAATCAATGAATAACTTAGTAGCATCATCCCATATTCTCATGTATGTTGGTTGCTTTTTAGGAATCTACACAACGATTCTACCTCGTTCACACACCACAACCACACAATCTCAATCATTCCCCGCAGGGCCAAATCACAAACCACTTTAGAAATACTGTATATTGTCTTTCACAGCATTGACGAATCCTTCTAAGCAAATGTATATCATCCCTCAGCCTCAAACCTATGTAAACAATAGTGGTTGTTCTCACAAACAACAAGTCACTATAAGTGTTAGACAACCATCTCACACCCACTAGAATAGACTAACCTCTAACACTCTACAGCAGCTCTTGAAGGCAATTCAAGACCGTCACACCCAAACCATACAAGAGATGAAACTACAATTTTCTCAACAACTACAATCTTAACTAATCGCAATTTTCATTAACAATTCAAGTATCACAATGAAATAATTCTCAATAGATTACAGTAATAAAGGAATTAAAAAATGCAAGAGATCATATCAAGAAAACCTTCATAATTTCAATATCAAAATTCTAGGGTTTTGCCAAAAATAATAATTTCTTGAAACGAGAACAAGTATTAGATGAAAACATGATTTAATCATGACTAGGACTTTAGGAATTAAGAATCCATGTATTTCTCAAAATCAAACACGTATTTAGCAAACTAGGGTTTTGAAAATTCAACAATAAGTATTCCTTTAACCCAAACATGTATTTTGTTCAAAACTATGTTTTAATGATAAAAAAAAAATTAAGAACTCATAAGTATTTATCATATAACTATCAATAAGATTGAAAACATATATATATATATATATATATATATATATAATAACCTAATTCTCAATAAAAGAACTCAAGAAGAATCTCTTACCTTGATTTCATAGGTTGTATGTAACCTAGCATGTTTGATCAATTCCACTTGAGAATCCCCCTTCAATCTTGTGTTTTTCTTCTTCTTTCTTGCTCTCTAAGGTTCTCTAGCGTTAAGAACTGATGAAATAAGACTAGGGGATATGTACTTAAGTATTTATAGGATGAGAAAACTGTCTAGTTGGCACTGACCGGATATTCAAAATCGTGATAGTACATTTGAACTAGAGGTCAGACGTTTGAACTATCTACCTCGCATTCGAACGGATCCATTCTCGTTTGAACGGACTCTAGTTTTTACCTAAACTTCCAAGGAAGTTTAGGCCTAGTTATAAGTCGATTCACAAAATTTTCGTAAAATACACTTTTGTAACCCTGGAATTCTAGTTTCTATTGTAAAATTTTAGGTCAATCGGACATTAGGATACAAAGTTATAGCCAAAATACTAAAGTTATGTCAAATTCATTTCTACCCAAATTTTCTCTGAAATAGGTATTTAACTCTAAAATACTTCTAAATTTCTAATACAACTCATAGAACCTCTTTCAATGTTTTTTGTCCTTCCGGATTCAATGAAAACTTTATTTTGATCTAAAAATATTTATAAAATTACTTATCCACCCTTCTCAAAACTAAACATATCTAATACTCAATTTACCCCGAACGTAAATATGTGTGAAACTCAAATTTTATAATCAATTTTTCAACAATGATTTTAAATTTCTACCATCATTTTATTCATCTTAAGAGAACTATTAAGATATAAGTATCCTTCTTGAATTTTAATATGGGGTCTTACATGTTGAGATTTACATCAAGAGTTCACGAAATTATCTGATTACAATGAATTTTCTAACAAGTATGACTTAGAATCAATTGTCATTCTACCGAAAATTTCTACCTAATACTGTCCTTTTTTTAACTTATCCCTCACTTCTCAATATGAAAGTGAGTTTGCAAAACTCTCTCTAGAAAATGTGTTCTGCAAATACGTTTTTACACTTCAAAATGTCGGGTTAAATCATGCTTTCATACAAGTGACCAAAAATAAATTTGAAACCATGAACGAGAGATAATATAGTAAGAAAATGACTATTTTTTGGAAAAACATACATAATTTAAGTGTTCGTATAAGTTTTTCCAGATTAGGGTAACAATTGAGTTATAGAGAGTTATGTTGGAGTCGTGTCATTTCTAATTTGTATCAAGCAATAATCAAACCTTAACCCAACCATTTAATTAATTATGTCAAATGTCTTAATACTAACCTAAACAATTTATTATCGTGTTGAGTTTGAATTGACATGTATAATCTGTAAATGAAAAAGCTAAAGCTAAAACTTTATTATTTCTCTTAATCAAACTCACATAGTTTTTGCGTAAAATAAGAATTATCTAATAAAATCATTCAATAGTTAAAAACCTTCTCAATTTACAAGAATTAACGTCAAAAACATGATAAAATATGACATTTTATTCAAATTTTGTACATACTAGTTAAACATGTTAATTGTGTCTATTCCAAATTAATCATGTTTAACACTAACGTGGCCCGACCAATTTATTTTTCATGTTAACACGCCATATCATTTTCAAACTTGTCAACTATTTTGTGTTTTGTTCGTATCATGCCCAAAATTCTCACCCTGGTCTCTAAAGCATGTTGTGACCTAAGTTTTTAACCATTGGCACCGTATTGTATGCATCCATCAACATTCGCAAGAGATATACTTTATGCTTGCCATATAACTTTTCATTCATCACTGACGAATGTTAATTAGACTGTTGTTTCTGATACCAGACAAAGGGCATAAACATCATGCGCACGGCAGTGTCTACCCCAAGAAATTTCAGACGAGACAATGTAGCCCTCCCAACTGCAGAATTGAATCTCATTTGATTAAAAATCAACTTCTGAAAAACGGAACCNAGACAAAGGGCATAAACATCATGCGCACGGCAGTGTCTACCCCAAGAAATTTCAGACAAGAGACAATGTAGCCCTCCCAACTGCAGAATTGAATCTCATTTGATTAAAATCAACTTCTGAAAAAGGGAACCAAAATAAGCTGGCTGCATTTCTAGTTTCCATCATCAGGAATTATGTAAAATAGCAGCAATAGCTTAACAGATTCCAAAAATATAATTGAAACAGAATTCAACAGAAGGCAAATAGAAAAGTATTTGATGTCCCCAATGGATAAAAATTAAAACAAAAAGAAAACAAGGAAATGGTCTCGTGCAGCTAGTTTTCAGGTAAGGGGTGAAAATACCAAGGAAGCCTCAATTGTTTTTCCTATTTTGCCTGAGGGTGAGATGCAATGAAGTCAACAGCAAGATTGATAGANGATTCCAAAAATATAATTGAAACAGAATTCAACAGAAGGCAAATAGAAAAGTATTTGGTGTCCCAATGGATAAAAATTAAAACAAAAAGAAAACAAGGAAATGGTCTCGTGCAGCTAGTTTTCGGGTAAGGGGTGAAAATACCAAGGAAGCCTCAATTGTTTTTCCTATTTTGCCCGAGGATGAGATGCAATGAAGTCAACAGCAAGATTGATAGAGTTGATCTTATCTGCTTCATTATCAGGAATCTCAAATCCAAACTCTTCTTCAAATGCCATCACAACTTCCACGGTGTCCAAACTATCCAAACCCAGATCGTTCTGAAAATGAGCAGTTGGGGTAACCTGCAATATCAAAAGCAACTCCCAAAAATTAAAAAAAAAATANCTCTTCTTCAAATGCCATCACAACTTCCACGGTGTCCAAACTATCCAAACCCAGATCGTTCTGAAAATGAGCATTTGGGGTAACCTGCAATATCAAAAGCAACTCCCAAAAATTAAAAAAAAAAAATTCCCGGGAATATGCTTGCAGTAGAAATCCATAAATGACAACAAAGAAATGTCTAGGCTACATCCACACATTCAACTTCAAACTAAATCCTGGAAATGAGAAATTGAAGGAAGATGTTCTTGTATGTGTCAGTTCAGGGTACATAACTTTCCATTATTCCATTTATATCTTTCCGACGATAAATTCATGTAGGTCAGGCTTGAGAACTGCCATTGGCCAAGGCCTTTCGACAAGAACTGATGTGTTTCAACTCTATATATGAAGAATTCCACCGTACTTCAATGAAAATTTGTGAATACCATCATTAGGCAATTACATGGAAAATTGCCAGAAGCAATCCTACAGAAAACTGACAAATATCCTTCTGAACAAGAGGAACAGAGGACATAAAGGCAAAATTTCAATCCTCCTTTCGGATAAGAGGACGGAGAATATTTTAATAGATTTTCAAACTTCCTCAGCAAATCGCATTACAGGTAAAAAATTTGAACCCCAGGGTTTGTCTTCAAAAAAGATATCAAGAACTTTCAAGCAGCTAAATCCCATACATCTAAACAATCTATATGTAAACAAGAAAATCAGTCAGCATTATTTTTCCTTACATAATAAATGCCAAGGCAAGAACCACATCAAAACATCAATGTTCAAATAACCACAAGTGGCACCAGCAGCAAGTACAGTCAAACATATATTACTTGCAGGGAGAGGGACGTCTTCAAACAGACGTCCTATAAAAATGAGAATATGTATACATTTGCATAAACCTAATATGCAGGACACATTATCAATATACACATGAAATGCAGCGAGAACCTACTCAAAATACCTTTAACTTATGTAACAAGTGATCATTGCTACACCGTATGAGTTAAAAACAAACGTTAGATTAACTATTTAACTCAAGTTGAATATTCTTTACCCACTCCAACATATTTTGCAAGGTTTTTAAAATCGAAATCCTACCTTGGATCGATAGGGGTGGTTGTAGGATCGAATTGAGAATCATAAGATCCTACTTATTAAAGAAAATAGAACTAACAATACATTCAACAACAAAGATTTCAATGAACCAAACCTTGTCTCTGTACTTGACGTAAATATATGATGTCTATATATAATATGCGTACCACAAGCTAACTTAAATAAAATTGAAAATGTAGCTCAAATAGAGAGGAGCCAAATACATTAGGGTTGTAAAGGCAAAATCAAAAAATTACAATTTGAGTTAAGGCGGTGATAGGGTAATAACAAAAAACAGAGGTGGCAAAACTAGTCCCAGACAATAGAGTTTCAGAAACCCATACAAGAGGAAAACATTAAGCAGAAAAAAAAGAGAGAGAGAGAAAAAACACAGAGATAGCACATTCGGCTTCAAAATCAGTTANACTTTCAAGCAGCTAAATCCCATACATCTAAACAATCTATATGTAAACAAGAAAATCAGTCAGCATTATTTTTCCTTACATAATAAATGCCAAGGCAAGAACCACATCAAAACATCAATGTTCAAATAACCACAAGTGGCACCAGCAGCTAGTACAGTCAAACATATATTACTTGCAGGGAGAGGGACGTCTTCAAACAGACGTCCTATAAAAATGAGAATATGTATACATTTGCATAAACCTAATATGCAGGACACATTATCAATATACACATGAAATGCAGCGAGAACCTACTCAAAATACCTTTAACTTATGTAACAAGTGATCATTGCTACACCGTATGAGTTAAAAACAAACGTTAGATTAACTATTTAACTCAAGTTGAATATTCTTTACCCACTCCAACATATTTTGCAAGGTTTTTAAAATCGAAATCCTACCTTGGATCGATAGGGGTGGTTGTAGGATCGAATTGAGAATCATAAGATCCTACTTATTAAAGAAAATAGAACTAACAATACATTCAACAACAAAGATTTCAATGAACCAAACCTTGTCTTTGTACTTGACGTAAATATATGATGTCTATATATAATATGCGTACCACAAGCTAACTTAAATAAAATTGAAAATGTAGCTCAAATAGAGAGGAGCCAAATACATTAGGGTTGTAAAGGCAAAATCAAAAAATTACAATTTGAGTTAAGGCGGTGATAGGGTAATAACAAAAAACAGAGGTGGCAAAACTAGTCCCAGACAATAGAGTTTCAGAAACCCATACAAGAGGTAAACATTAAGCAGAAAAAAAAAGAGAGAGAGAGAGAGAGAGAAAAAACACAGAGATAGCACATTCGGCTTCAAAATCAGTTAAAAAAAAAATAGCATGTATCGCTATGTAAGAGTAGGATTGCAGGATTGAATTTGGATCAAGATCCTACAATTTTGAAGGATCTAGATATCGATCCACATTGATTCTACTACCTAGCGATTTTGTATACAATCCGGATCAATTTGTTAATTTTGGATCGTAGGATCATGGGATCGTAGGAGTCAGATCGCGATTTTAATAACCATGGTTTTTTGTACCTCAATAACTACCTTGCAACAATCTTCAAAAATAAAAGAAACAAGAAAATTAAAAAATGTGGTGCTAAGATAGATATACACACACACACATATATATATAGAGAGAGAGAGGGGGGGGAAGAGGGAGATTGATTTGAATTGAGGAGAAGAAAAACTACAAAAAATAAAGAATAAAAAAGAAGAGATTTATCTCACCGCTGTAAGGATTACAAACGAAACACTCCTAATTCCAACTTCTCAATAAACTTCGCTCTCTAATAAAAAATGGGTAAAAACATTATTTAGAACTTAGTCAACTTCCTAGTAAAATCCTCATGGCTATAATTATTGAGACACCATTTGTCAAATAAACTTCCTATTTAAATAATCCAACAAATATATAGTAACATAAATAAGACAAATAAACTTTTAGAGTTCTTATGTTTTTATATTATTAGCAATGTAGAGTAATATTGTGATTACCAAAAACATCAACTTATTATAAATAAGGAAGTGTAGGGCAACATAGCTTACCCACAATTGAGTATTCTCTCCGTCTCTTTCTTCTATCTTTCTCTTCTCTCTTATTTTTCCTCTAACCCTAATATTATTTTTACTCTTTTAACTTGGTAGTAGAGCAATCGTTCACAAGGATCAAAGTATCAGCCGCGTCCGATAAAACTTGGCCGAGTCATTTCCGACTTGGCCTCTACCGAACTGATAACAATACATGATATGCCAAACCAACGAGTCTCACTAGAATCGGCCCAAAATCGGAGACAACTTGGTTGAACCCCAGTGACTCGAATAAACTCATAACTGAGTCGGACCAAGTCGCTAAGAATCGCAGAAATCAGTCAAAACCCACGAAGAAGAAAGTGAAGACCTACAAATTGAAGCCACTATGAATGGTTCTCTCTCTCCCTCTTCTTCTCCACTTCTCTGTGCGAATATCGATCATCTTTTCTCACTGATTTCTCTTTCTCTCTCTCTCTCTCACAGTTGCTTGGGTATTCCCAAAAGGTCAACGTGTTAGGGCAATTCAACAAAAAAAAATGTGTAAAGGAATTTCGTTGAAGAGGGTTACCATCTTATAAGTCACATTATTTTTAAAAATCAGATTTTGGTTAGTAAGACTTCCGACTACTACTATAAGTAGGACAGTAAATAAGCGGAAGCGATACCTGACTGGACAAAAGTAACAAGGGAGGAAGATGGTATTGCCTGTTGCTGGGACATGAATTGAGCATACTCCTCTTGGATAATAGTAACTAACTTAGAGGGGTCGAACGTGAGGATGGGGCAAGTAAGGTGCAAGGATCAAAATTTCGTTTCGAAATACCGTTTCGGTCAACTCAAAAATAGAAACGTTTCGGAAACATTTCGGAAACGCAATGGAAACGCAGAAAAAATATGGAAACGCATAGAAACACAAATGCAATCCATTAATTTATAAAGATATGCTAAATAATTTATTAATTCAACATATTTATTAGGTTAACATNAGGGGGGGGAAGAGGGAGATTGATTTGAATTGAGGAGAAGAAAAACTACAAAAAATAAAGAATAAAAAAGAAGAGATTTATCTCACCGCTGTAAGGATTACAAACGAAACACTCCTAATTCCAACTTCTCAATAAACTTCGCTCTCTAATAAAAAATGGGTAAAAACATTATTTAGAACTTAGTCAACTTCCTAGTAAAATTCTCATGGCTATAATTATTGAGACACAATTTGTCAAATAAACCTCCTATTTAAATAATCCAACAAATATATAGTAATATAAATAAGACAAATAAACTTTTAGAGTTCTTATGTTTTTATATTATTAGCAATGTAGAGTAATATTGTGATTACCAAAAACATCAACTTATTATAAATAAGGAAGTGTAGGGCAACATAGCTTACCCACAATTGAGTATTCTCTCCGTCTCTTTCTTCTATCTTTCTCTTCTCTCTTATTTTTCCTCTAACCCTAATATTATTTTTACTCTTTTAACTTGGTAGTAGAGCAATCGTTCACAAGGATCAAAGTATCAGCCGCGTCCGATAAAACTTGGCCGAGTCATTTCCGACTTGGCCTCTACCGAACTGATAACAATACATGATATGCCAAACCAACGAGTCTCACTAGAATCGGCCCAAAATCGGAGACAACTTGGTTGAACCCCAGTGACTCGAATAAACTCATAACTGAGTCGGACCAAGTCGCTAAGAATCGCAGAAATCAGTCAAAACCCACGAAGAAGAAAGTGAAGACCTACAAATTGAAGCCACTATGAATGGTTCTCTCTCTCCCTCTTCTTCTCCACTTCTCTGTGCGAATATCGATCATCTTTTCTCACTGATTTCTCTTTCTCTCTCTCTCTCTCACAGTTGCTTGGGTATTCCCAAAAGGTCAACGTGTTAGGGCAATTCAACAAAAAAAAATGTGTAAAGGAATTTCGTTGAAGAGGGTTACCATCTTATAAGTCACATTATTTTTAAAAATCAGATTTTGGTTAGTAAGACTTCCGACTACTACTATAAGTAGGACAGTAAATAAGCGGAAGCGATACCTGACTGGACAAAAGTAACAAGGGAGGAAGATGGTATTGCCTGTTGCTGGGACATGAATTGAGCATACTCCTCTTGGATAATAGTAACTAACTTAGAGGGGTCGAACGTGAGGATGGCGCAANGACATGAATTGAGCATACTCCTCTTGGATAATAGTAACTAACTTAGAGGGGTCGAACGTGAGGATGGGGCAAGTAAGNTGTAAGTATGTACTCATTAGCATTTCATGTGTATTATAAGACCTTAATATTATGTAAAAATGTGTTTATTTCATAAAAATTAAGTGTTTGAAACTAATTTAAGTGACTTTCGCCTCAAGTCAAGCCTTTTTTTCCCTCAAATTTAAATTTATTCTTGTATAAATTGATGTTAACCTAATAAATATGTTGAATTAATAAATTATTTAGCATATCTTTATAAATTAATGGATTGCATTTGTGTTTCTATGCGTTTCCATATTTTTTCTGCGTTTCCATTGCGTTTCCGAAATGTTTCCGAAACGTTTCTATTTTTGAGTTGACCGAAACGATACTTCGAAACGAAATTTTGATCCTTGACTACAAGTATAATAAAAGAGTACCAATATGGCCTCTACGACCTCCACTACATCCCCTTCGGGAGTCATGACTAGCACCACAAGTGTCACGGTCACCCCGAATACGACCACTGGCCATTAGAGCCAACTAAGGTTGAACGGTCAGCAGAAGAACCATGATCAATGCCTGAAGTGAATGGTCATTGGATATAGTAGTATGTTGTAAGAGGGAAAAACCTTGGGAAAAGAGGAAGACTAGGACCACCCGAAGGCTCATACTCAGACTTCAAACCAACAAGGAAACAAACAACATCCAAATTCTCACGTTGCTGCAGAAGTGCATCATTAGCGATAAACGGGTGGTAAATTCTCACAATTCCTCACAAACTCCCTTAACACAGGAATAATAATCTTCAAAATTCAGAGTACCCTGCTCAAAACAATAATATTGTTTGCATAACTCGTAAGCACAAGTAAAATTACCAATGCTAGAATACATAATTGTCAAATGATCTCATATGTCCTTGATAGTATCAAGATACAACGAGGTAGAGTTGATATGAGACTCAATGCTATTCAATAGTAAAGAAATAATATGTGCATCCTCTTATTCCTAATGATCAAATCCGGAGTCACTTTCCTTGGATTTCTGTCCCACCAAATACTTTAACACCTTTGCCTCTAAGAAAGACTTGAACAAATCATGACCATAAAACATAATTAGTCTCATTAAGCTTGACAGATGTCATAGGAGCATTAAGGACAGTCGGGGAAAGTGTGGGTGAGAAGATCGGGACAAGAGATGGTGTATCAGTTTTGGGCTCCATAATAATACCACAAATTTTGAGACAAGCCAAAGACAAATAAAGCAAATAAAGCAAAATCATCACCTTAATAGTACAAAATCATCACCTTAACAGTACAAAATCAGTCAAAGATAAGAGGGTCCAAGGGAAATAGTAGAGAACACCAGAGTAGGAGCTTAAACCCACACAGATCTATGGAATGAAGGGTTGAACCAGAATCAAGGTAGACTGAACCAGAATCAAGGTAGACCGAACCGACCCTAAAAAGCTTGTGCATTGGCTAGTGGACCACGGAAAGCCTCTGTGTGCAGCAAAACTGACTGAAAGGCTACAGAACCGGAGTGAAACAGTGGTAAACAACTCCTGAACCAGCGGGAAACTGCCCGAACTAGGCCTGAATTGACCTGAACCAACCTAAACCGTGTGTGAACCGGCTAAACTGAGCCAAACCGGTCTGGGATGGGATGGGATGTGCTAAGTCTGAACTAGGCTAGGCTGAACCAAATGAGTTTGAACCATAGTTATTAGTATCGTACAATACGCGATACGTATCGTATGATACGTCACGATATACCTGAAAAACGATATTATCGTGTTTCTGTATCGTTTTTGCACCGTATCGTACGATACACGATACGATGCATCCAATACGTACGATACGTGACGATTCTTTTTTCTATTTTTTTATTTTATTTTTTGGGGCTAAAATGATATCGTTTTGGGGCTAAAGTGGCAAACCNAGCGATAAACGGGTGGTAAATTCTCACAATTCCTCACAAACTCCCTTAACACAGGAATAATAATCTTCAAAATTCAGAGTACCCTGCTCAAAACAATAATATTGTTTGCATAACTCGTAAGCACAAGTAAAATTACCAATGCTAGAATACATAATTGTCAAATGATCTCATATGTCCTTGATAGTATCAAGATACAACGAGGTAGAGTTGATATGAGACTCAATGCTATTCAATAGTAAAGAAATAATATGTGCATCCTCTTATTCCTAATGATCAAATCCGGAGTCACTTTCCTTGGATTTCTGTCCCACCAAATACTTTAACACCTTTGCCTCTAAGAAAGACTTGAACAAATCATGACCATAAAACATAATTAGTCTCATTGAGCTTGACAGATGTCATAGGAGCATTAAGGACAGTCGGGGAAAGTGTGGGTGAGAAGATCGGGACAAGAGATGGTGTATTAGTTTTGGGCTCCATAATAATACCACAAATTTTGAGACAAGCCAAAGACAAATAAAGCAAATAAAGCAAAATCATCACCTTAATAGTACAAAATCATCACCTTAACAGTACAAAATCAGTCAAAGATAAGAGGGTCCAAGGGAAATAGTAGAGAACACCAGAGTAGGAGCTTAAACCCACACAGATCTATGGAATAAAGGGTTGAACCAGAATCAAGGTAGACCGAACCAGAATCAAGGTAGACCGAACCGACCCTAAAAAGCTTGTGCATTGGCTAGTGGACCACGGAAAGCCTCTGTGTGCAGCAAAACTGACTGAAAGGCTACAGAACCGGAGTGAAACAGTGGTAAACAACTCCTGAACCAGCGGGAAACTGCCCGAACTAGGCCTGAATTGACCTGAACCAACCTAAACCGTGTGTGAACCGGCTAAACTGAGCCAAACCGGTCTGGGATGGGATGGGATGTGCTAAGTCTGAACTAGGCTAGGCTGAACCAAATGAGTTTGAACCATAGTTATTAGTATCGTACAATACGCGATACGTATCGTATGATACGTCACGATATACCTGAAAAACGATATTATCGTGTTTCTGTATCGTTTTTGCACCGTATCGTACGATACACGATACGATGCATCCAATACGTACGATACATGACGATTCTTTTTTCTATTTTTTTATTTTATTTTTTGGGGCTAAAATGATATCGTTTTGGGGCTAAAGTGGCAAACCAGCGAGCCAACAAACCAATCCAGCAAAACACCAAATTAGCAAATAACTTTAACACCAAAGGAGAAGAAGACATTATCCGAGATAGAGCAATCCACAGATTTTTGGCAACAGTCAGTTAGTATATCACCTCCATTCAAATCAAATCCAGGAGAATTTTAAGCTGCAAATCTGAGCATGAACAGTGCAATCAAATCTAGCAAATATCCAAGCCAAATCGGATTTTTTTAACAGTGATGCACAATAATGAACAGTGTACAGCTCCAGAAGATTCAGCAATGAACAGTGATTCACATAACACTAGAAGACTTGAGGATTGGGAACAGTAAGTCAAGTACACAGATTTTGCAACAGTGATGCACTGCAATGAACAGTGTGCACATCCAGAAAACTGACCAACAAACGGTGATGCACAGGGCACCAGAAGACTTGCAGATTTGTGAACAATAACTCAATAATGCACAGAATCAGCAGCAACAAACTGACATCGACCAAAACTAACCCAAAAATACTCAGAAAACAGGGCACTGGTGCAAAATTCTACTTGGCCGAACCAGAAAATCAACCAAAACTTACACAAATATTATTTTCAAATGTCCTTTGTTTATCTTATCAGTAGCAATCTCAGATATTATTATCAAATGTTTAAATAACAGGTGTTTCAGAGTGCAGCTCTTTTTGATTCTTTAACTGTTCGTGAAAATGTTGGTTTTCTTCTGTAAGATTCTGTCTAGTTTCCTTGTGCAAATTTTATGCATTCTTTACACATATATAGACACACACACAAAAATTTACACCTATGGAAAGCTTGATACATCTAAATCTTGTCCATTTGTCCTGAATTGCACAGGTATGAGAATTCCACCATGCCCGAGGATCAAACTTCGGAGCTTGTATCAGAAACTTTGGCTGCCGTTGGCTTAAAGGTATGGTCGAAAAGAAAATTTGTGGTTGGATTGATCAGACGTTATATACATGTCATTTGCTTTATGTGCATCTAGGTCCACACATTCAGAGAATAGTAGCTCTTAAAGTTTGAAAATGAAAAGAAATGCATAACAGTCCTCCCATGAGCTTAGAAAAACTGCGTGTAGTCCATTGACTTGCATTGTGTAAAAATGTTCGTCAGTGTTTAAAATTCCTTTCCTAAATATGATGTTCTCTTTGGTCATTTTTAAACTAATGAAAAGCCCAGGAGTGTATCCTTTCAGTCATGGTTTGCATAGTTATTTTATGTCTTAGGTGCTTGTGGGGGCCTACCTATTGCTTTTTATGGAATTTATGTAGATTTATCTCACATTTGACTAGCTACCATGGTAAGATATTGGGGGGTTTGTACTGAAGACATGGGTTTAGAGTCGTATTCAAGTTTTGAATCCTGCAAACATACCTCAGCAACTTCATAACAGGGGAAAAAAAAACTTGGCAACTGACAGCAAGTTCAAGACTTGAAACTTGTATGTTTAAGAAGAAGAGGAGGAGGAAGAAAGAGAAGAAACAGTAACATCAGTAAGAAAAGTCATTAGCATCTATAATGTTATGTATGACAATGAAAGTTCTTTGCAGGAAGTTGAGAATCGATTACCTTCTGAGTTGTCTGGCGGGATGAAGAAAAGAGTTGCATTAGCCAGGTCTATAAATTTTGATACCACAAAGGATACAATAGAGCCCGAGGTATGTCTACAAAGTGGTTCTGTTGGTGATTATAAAATATATTCTATAAACCTCCTTGTTTCATTCTGTGATTCATAGAGCCTATTATCTTAGCAGGTGGGTTTTCAGAAGTCTGAAATAGTCCTACAGGAAGAAGAGAAATAAACAGGGGAGGGATTGTTGAATAGGACGTCTAATTTTTTTTTTTGACTTGCAACAATGAAAATTTTATTAAAAATAATAATCTGAAGCCAATAGGATAAGGATGAGAGATCCTTCAAATAAAAACAGAAAAAATACAACGAAAAGAGAAGGAAAAAAGAGGTACAATGAAGCAAGAAACCAAAACACGTATTCATCAGGCATCACAAACTGAGAGCTGTGCCCTTATAAAAAATAACAGAATGTCCACAAACTCCAGTGTAACGAAACCCAGAAGGAAGCCAAAAAACAAACATTTTCCCACAATTTGCCATTTTCTTCCAAATTGTATTCAAACTGAGAGCTNCTAATTTTTTTTTTTGACTTGCAACAATGAAAATTTTATTAAAAATAATAATCTGAAGCCAATAGAATAAGGATGAGAGATCCTTCAAATAAAAACAGAAAAAATACAACGAAAAGAGAAGGAAAAAAGAGGTACAATGAAGCAAGAAACCAAAACACGTATTCATCAGGCATCACAAACTGAGAGCTGTGCCCTTATAAAAAATAACAGAATGTCCACAAACTCCAGTGTAACGAAACCCAGAAGGAAGCCAAAAAACAAACATTTTCCCACAATTTGCCATTTTCTTCCAAATTGTATTCAAAAGATCCCTACATTCCCTTCCAACCATAATCCCAAAGGATGGCCAATATGCTACATTTCCAAATAATTTGAGCTCTTTTACTCTTTCCCACACCCCAAAAATCAATGACAAACATCAAAGGCTCTATGAAATCCCCGGAGGTAAATAATCTTTGCCAAATCAATGAAACTATTGGACAGTCTACGTACAAATGATCAACAGTTTCCTCATTTGTTTCAGCACATAGTACTCCTCTTATCACTGCGGCAACAAAAACCAATGAGGTCTCATTCTTTGAAACAGATCAGTAGTAATGATTATTGATTATCTTATGAGCAATGCAACAAGAAAAAATTTGTATGTTAAGAGACACCTTCGCCTTCCAAATCATCTTTTCTGGGGCAAACAATGGCCAATTCAATAATAGCATCCAAAAAAGATTTATAAGATAATACCCCCAAAAGAAGGAATAGACTACACTCTATTATCAGGAACTGAAGGCTAAAAATAACCCCATCCAGCATTGATTACAAAGACAAAAAATTGATAACCTCCCTAGCCTTTAGATTTTCCAAAGAAGTTAAAGTTTCAACTCTGAAGAAAGTTAAAAGAACACACTATAGAAGCAACTGAAGCATTATGAGAATAGGAACATTAGAGGAAATAGTAATGAAAAAGGAGAATAGATGCTCTATTTGTCATCCGAAGAATGAACCTTATCACCATTGGGTGGGGCTATTCCCACCCCTTTTAATTTCTCATTACNACTCTGAAGAAAGTTAAAAGAACACACTATAGAAGCAACTGAAGCATTATGAGAATAGGAACATTAGAGGAAATAGTAATGAAAAAGGAGAATAGATGCTCAATTTGTCATCCGAAGAATGAACCTTATCACCATTGGGTGGGGCTATTCCCACCCCTTTTAATTTCTCATTATCAAACTATTAAACTCACCCTTTCTATACCCACCCCATTAGTAACTAAACCCACCTCATGTTACACACACCCCATTAATAGTTACACTCACTCATTTTATGTACACCCCTTTAATGAAAGAAGTAATCGTAGAAAAAAATAATTAAAAAAGACAATTAGTTTGAATGCATAAATATATTTACGAAACAAGAAAAACAAAGAAACAAACAAAACCGAAACAAGAAAAAAAAAACAACCAACAACAAAACAAGTAAAAAAAAACAAGCATGCCGAAACAAGAAAAAAAGGCAAACCAAAACAAGAAAAAAAAAAGAAACAAGAAAAATCATAAAGAAATGAGCAAATCGAAACAAGAAGGTAAAAAAAAAAAACCTAAGTATAGATTAAAGAAACAAGCAAAACTACAAGACACAAAACTGAACATGAAAAAAAAAACAAGCATCCATCACAATACAAAATCGAATAAGAAAAAAAAATAAGCAACATAGATGCAAAACTAAACAAGATTAAAAAAGAAAAAATAATCTGAAAGCATACATATATATATACACATAAAAATTCTCAATAAAAATTATTAAACTTGACAGAGATATCAAAACATACCGAAAATAATAAAAATTCATATAACAAACATGAAATCAAACATAGAATTAAATTGATACGTAATACTAACTTGTATCTCACTAGAAAAATTCATTTTGAAAAAGTGTTTTTGTGAGTGCATGAGATGAGATAGAGAATGAAATTCTAATTATCACAAAATATAAAGTAGGTTTACTTATTAAAAGGGGTGTATGTAGCATGGGGTGGACTTAATTACTAATGGGATGGATATAGAAAGGGTCAGTTTAGTAGCTTGATAATGAGAAAGTAAATGGGGTGAGAATGAAGATATGTGGGGTGGGAATAGCCCCGCTCATCACCATTTCCCAAACTCAGCCAAGAATTGGGGGAAACAATGTAAAATATGAGATATGGATTTAAACGTACTCTAAGAAGTCCCCAATCAACCATAAGAGAATCCCATCTATTCCCTTGAGTGACATATTTACTCTTTAGGAACATTATACCACAAGGAATCAAGTACAGTAGGAGATCTCCACAGCCACTTAACCCAGAAATCCTGTGTCTCGGGGAATAAAATTTTGCAAAGCAAGACCCCTTTAGCCCTTGACTGAGAAGCAATATCCAAACTGAACAAGTGATCCTTTTCCTTCCCCAATCCCCATTCCCCTACCCTTCCCACAAAAACTATCTTATCATTCTCTCAATTCTCCATATTAGATTGAACATTGAAAATGGACGTATATTGTATAGCAATACTAGATAAAATTGATTGTATTAAAGCCAACTTTCCTCCCATTGATACCAAAACCTTTTTCCAGGATTCCCACAAGAGGAACACCAAAATATGTTACCTCTCCATTTTCACCTTAGACATGTGAAGACCCAGGATGGAACTCTTTACTCATATTCCCTACAGTCCTGAAATCAATTCCAAGATATGCAAGATATATTTCAAAGTAGTAACTTTCTGTTCATATCTTGAAAGAAAAAGTCAATAGTGTCATCAGCAAAAATGCGGATTAGATACTGAAGTGCTAATTAATACACCTGTTAATTCAAATTTGGGTGACTAGTGCAATTTTTAGTTTGTTATTCACTCAATAGTCAAGTTCCAACATAGAAAGTGTGAGCAATATTTAGTTAGTCCTTTGATTGGTAAATGAAGCATTAAGTGCAAAAAACATACATAGCACCCTAATCCATTAGGTAATGGTCTGGTCGACTGGCTGTAATACTAGTTGACTAGGGTACAACCTGTGCATTGGTACAATTTGTATACAAAATTTGTCCAATTTAAATTTTCAGAACAGACATCTAATGTGTTTAAGGTGTTATATGGGCCTTATAGTCTGCTATATCTCTCCGTTGTGTTTAATCGTTTAGAATACCAAACTTGCATGAAAACTTGCATTATGTTATGATACTTGTCCTTTATATATTAATTAATCATAAATCACTTGGTGTACACAATGTCATATTGTCGTTTGGCTAACCGCTTAGTCTCCATCCGCTCTTCTAATCTCCATGGTGGGGGTTGGATCCACTAGTATGAGTTTTTTAGCCTAACCCAACGACCTTTTGGTTTAGAAATGGATAATCCACTAGCCAAATTAGAAGTTTCGTGATGTTGGATTTCTTATAAGATTTCCTAGGGTCACTTTCCTCCCTGCCTAATGCATCTTATGCAAGGCCTACACTGGGATTTTTTTCCTAGGAATATTCAAGGCTAACCTAGACCCTAAGTCCACTCTAATTTCACTCTTACAAACATTTTTTGATTAAGCTTTTACAAGTCCCCCATGAGGTATGCCTTTCTAAAGGTTTGACACCAAATTTATGTGGTTCATAAAAGTGTCCAAATACACATATAGAAACTATTGAGAGTATTACTATTATATTGTTTTTTATATGTATACTAGTCCTTTATGTTTTCCTAGGTAACTATAAATATAAGTTGCGAGTGAGAGGTAGGTCATAAGATACTACTCTCTACCTCTCTCTTTATGGTTTTCTCTCTATTCTCTAAATCTAACATGGTATTAGAGCCTATTTGACATGAAATTTGCTTTTAGTATTGAATTCTCGAGCCCAGCCCTCTCATTCCTTTTCTTTTCTTTTCTTCCCTCTTTTTTTTCTTTCTTTCCCGGAAAAGACTATTGTGCAACCCACGACCATGGTCTAGGGTTTGTGTCACTTTATGCATAACCAGTGNCTTTCCCGGAAAAGACTATTGTGCAACCCACGACCATGGTCTAGGGTTTGTGTCACTTTATGCATAACCAGTGGTCCTAGGTGGTGGTTGAAGATTGTTGATATGGCGAAGAACGACGCAATAGTGATGAACTCCGATTGCTGCGTCGTCGTTGTTTGTCCAACTGTCAAAGTTGAGTTGATGTGATCTCTTCTTCGTCGTTATTCTCACCAGAGGTCTTGTTGATTGTGTCGTGGTTGTCACCGGGGATTAGGTGTGTAGTCAACATTGCTGTCAGAGTGGATTCGTCGCGCGTAGGCAGGAACTTAGGGTTAAGGAGAACCAAACGTGTGAAGACGACGACGTTGATGGGATTCGGATCTTTCTTCGGGTTATAATCCATAACCGTGTAAAACTCGAAAAAATTAAAACTTAATTAAAAAAAAATAAGACAGTAATTAGCCGTTATGGTACGAATTAAAAATCCGAATTTNGATCCTAGGTGGTGGTTGAAGATTGTTGATATGGCGATGAACGACGCAATAGTGATGAACTCCG